AGCGGGGGTCGCCGGGGCGGTTTTCACTGGCGGCCCCGCCCTGCCACAACCTTCCTCCTGAACAGGCTTATTTTAGTTCTGCATCTGAAGTATCCTTTCTAGTTCCAAAAGGATTATTCCATCCTTTTAAAGTTCAAAAGTATCTCCCAGTTACGTTGTGATGATAGGAATAGGAGTTCCTCATGTGAGCCATTTACAAAGCATCCAGTCCAAGCCAGCTATCTGGGCTGGCTCGCTCCTCACTTGTGCAAGAATAACTTCTCCAAAAGTTAACTCTTTCCATCACAGATGTCTAAAAACAGGTGAGGCAAGTTGCCTTCAAAAATCTGAATGAGTCTAGACGTCTTCAGCCACTATCTCACTCGCAGCAGGTAAAGCCACATGGCACAACTTACAGCTAAACACACCAAACCACGAGTTACTGGCACAGGCCAACATGTTCTCGGTTCTGCAGTCTTTCTAACACACCAGGCAGAAACCATTCTGCTTTGATATTTCTCAACGGCATAATTCTCTATCATCACTTCCACTGTAGACAATAAAAAAGACATTCACAACTAAAAATAAGTCTGAAAGTAACTTGTTTTTGCATCTCAGTTAGTGCTGAAATTATACTTCAGTGGGGTGTTTATTGTGGATAAAACTCATTCACGTGCATGCTTCATCCCCTGACACTCAATTCCCAGAATTTTAATGAGGAAATAACACCAACAACCCCCTCTCCATAATTTTTTTCCCCAAAGCCCATGTAGCAAATTGAACGCAGAGGTCCTTGCTTTTGCAATGCATAGCTATTCCAAAAATTCCTGGGCAGAGGCCCTCCCCCTGCCCCCAGCCCTGCACACACGTTGCACTTCCAACAGGAATTCACCAAGGAAGATCCCAACTACTTGACAGGGTGTCTTTAAAACAGCAGATGTGTGAGCTTAAGGACCTACATTTTCATGGAAGTATACACTGTGCAATCATTTACACCTGCACAAAACGAGTGCAAAAAGCTGATTTTGAGATCCCAGGCTATTTTGCATCTCTCCTTGCACAAATAGCCGGGCACTGGAAAATGGACCCAATAGTTTGCTTAGAGTCGATTCCAAGCCTATCAAACCTTTCTCTAATTATATTGAGCCACTTCATCTGCCTATTAACTAAAGCATTGCCAGTGCAGAAAAGCCACATGCATCCTCTAGTTTGTCTTCTAGACACAAGTCAACTACTGTTTCCTTTCCATCACGTTCTCCACTCACTCAGACGAGCATTACCTGCCAAAACACAGTGGATGCCAGAGTCTGGTTGGGCAAGAGAAGACCAACAACCTGCAAGAGAAGAGATTTTTCTCATTAGCAAATACGTTGTCAGTTTGCTCTCGGTGCTGTGCTAGGCATGCAAACAGCAAGCTTATTTCTAATGACTTGAATAAGTTATCTTCATTTATTGCTTTATTTCATTATAGTTATTGAACTTCTCTTCCAGCCTATTGTCTCCCAGTTTTCCGGTGATGAAACTGGGTAACGCAGCTACCCATGAAAACTTTGCATCTTTAATTATTGCTTGCAACACACCTTGAAAGGAGTCTGGCAGCATATACTGTCCAAAGACAAGTTCATTAAAACGTAATCGATTCTTTAATCCAGGTATTTCTGGAGGACAACTCAAACATTGCATGAATACAAGAGTTCAAAGTTGTTACTATTGGCAGTAAAGAGGGTTTTTCTGTTTTCCTTTGGCATATCCCCTGTTTCAAGCACAAGAAAAAAATTTGATGTGAACATCTGAAGACAGGGGTGCCACCTGGAAGCACATGTGCTCCTGTTTGGGAGCCTGAATTTTGTTTTAAAGAGAAGAGAATTGTTGATGTGTCATATACTCTGAGCTGCGAAAACTCCTGCTTGGGTTACAAGCTCAGGCTGACGATCGCCATCTCCCAGGGGCTTATGGCAGGGCGGCCCCAGCACATCTGGCCAGGTGCTGCCTGCTGCTGCCTGAACATGAGATGCCACAGGCGTTGCAAGGTCACCCGTTGCAGCACCTGAGACCACACGTGCATAAGGGCAATGGCTTTAAACTGAAAGAGGGGAGATTTCGATAAGATCTAAGGAAGAAATTCTTCCCTCTGAGGGTGGTGAGGCACTGGCACAGGTTGTCCAGAGAAGCTGTGGCTGCCCCATCCCTGGAAGTGTTCAAGGCAAGGCTGGATGAGGCTTTGAGCAACCTGGTGTAGTGGAGGGTGTCCCTGCCCATGGCAGGGGGGTTGGAACTAGATGATGTTGAGGTCCCTTCCAACCCAAACCATTCTGTGATCCTATGATTCTGTAAGTTGCCTATACAGTCCTGAGAGCATCCCTGGGACATGTCTCAATACACCACATAAGTACACCCTCTGTAATTCTTTAAAGACCCCATCACACAAGGCAGCACTGTCGGACTCCTTCCTACCTTGTTTTAGGGCAATCTTTCCTCTTAAAGCATGAGGAATTGAAAAAGCAGAAAGGGATGCAAAGCAAGAGGACTCTCAATGATAAACTCAACAAATATGGACAGGAAGATGAGTCCTTGGGTAAGAAACAGTTAAGACAAGATACTTCCTAACATCGTTGGCGTTTTCTTCCCTTTTGTGCCTTAAATGTCTGATAGTTTCTGAAGAAGATGGTCTTCTTGTTGCAAAATCACACTCGCATGTTTGCTAAGAGTATAAAAGGCTGAATAACTCCTTTTAATTCCAAGTACATTTATTTTCAGGACATTCATGTGAACTGAAACATCTCCGAGGCATCTGGGCAAGAAGGCTGTGAGCTCCTTCACCCACTCAGACCATCTTCTGCACCATTTTCTTGAAGTTTATTCCTACAGAAGCTGAGCAGAAAGAGAACTTCCCTCCTAGAGCAGAGAGAGCCTGCTGCAAGGAGGGATGAGCTAAAGCCGTCTCTGCACATCTGCAGCAGCATCAGTTGAAGAGGAGGCAACTTCTACGCTTAAGGACATCAGAGAGAAATAACAACAAACAAAAGGGTAATAGGGTTGGGAGGCCTGATTTCATTTAAATCTTCTTTCCTTTCTCCTCCTCCTCCTCCAGCTTTTCCTCCTACAGCCTTTCGTGAAGTTACAGCTACTTTGTTCACTGGCCGAGTGCCAATCCGTGCAAGTTACACTAATTTACCGCTTCCATTCAATGTGTGGATCTCGTCATTAATTACTTCGTTGCCGGTCTTAGCCAAACAAATTCAACAGGCGATGAACCTCCTCACCCCAGGACTGACTTACATCCCTGAAGCCAGCGGGTTAATGAGGCTCCGGAGGAGAGGGAAGACCGCAGGCAGCGACTACATTGTCAGCTGAAGCTGAGCGCCGAGAAAAATACAAGAGGAAAATAAATAAATAAAAAAGAGCACCCAAAATCTGTATGACTGAAAGAGGCACGTTTAAATGCAAACTCTCCATATGTGCAAGAGTCTGTCAAGAAATGTACAGTTTCACTTTTAATTACTGTCAGGGGAAAAAATAACTAAGAAGGAAAACAAAATAAAGCAAGCTTCTAAGCACTAGAAAAGTACCAGCTACGAAATTTAATTGCCTATCAGGTGCGAAGGGCCTTTCGTGGCCCCGAAGCCAGGGCTAAAGCTGCCGCTCGGGCATCTGCCGGCTCCGCGCAGCCCCGCGGCACGCTCGCGTGACCAGCTCTCCTCTTGCACGCCCCAAGTCCTGCTTTGGGTGTCGGCGAGAGTTGTCTGCAACCCCGTATTAACAGCCGGGTCTTCTCTACACGCTTCGAAACCTCAACCAGATCCCCCCATTTTTACATGGTTGGGGAAAAAACGGTGCTTAAAGCTGTGGGTGGCAGCTGGGAACGGCAGAACGGCTTCTGCCCCATCCTCACTGCCCATGTCTTGGGCTGAATTTCCTAAGCGCAGATAAATCTTCCTCCTTGGAGCCTTTAATCCCTGGGCTGAAACACAAAGCCAGGGTGAAAGGCTGCAGCCCAAGCAGCCACCCTGCACACCTCGCCCCTACGGCAAAGGGAGATAACACGAGGGGCTGGATTTGCTACCTCCTGGGCTGAAATCTCAGTGGGCAAACGCAAACTCTCCCTACACTTATACATCCTCCATCCCGTCCCCACTCTGCCACTGCATCCAATTGTGGGGCTGAACCATAAACCCGAGTACGGAAAGGCCGGAGGCTAAAAAGAAAAGCAAACGTTTGTAATTCAGGGAAGGAATAAACAGCCACAGGATTTGGTTGTGTCAGGAGAGTAGCTGCTTCGGCCAGAAAAGAAACGATTATTTTCAGCAAGACCTTAATCTCTTTCACAATGAGCTAAACCATACTGAATTATTTTGCATTAGCTATAGGGGGAAAGAAAAAACCAAACCCGAGATGCATATAGGCGGCATCGTGTATTGACTGATAGGCAGTAAACCTGTTAATCCATAATCTGATCACGTTTCTGCTGGAATCTACGCAGGGTGTTTAACTGACCCCTGGAACACCGGGACAATTAGCGCAGGTGCCCCGGCCCCGGCTTTGCGGGCGAGGAGAGCCAGAGTCCACCGCAGGCACGTTAAGTCTCTCTTGAGGAAATCCCATCCCCCTATGTGAAATGCAAGACTCAAACTGTTTTTATGCTAGAGCAGGCTGCCAATTTTGTCACTAAATTTCACAGATCGATTGGCATAAATGTTACATTTTAATTTTAACATTTGAAACGTTTGGGGTTTTTTTCTTCTTCTTTTTTTTTTTTTTTTTTTAAATAGCAAGAGGTTCCAGTTTATCCTTTACAGCTAGTGAAATTGGGCTCATCTGACAGCTCTCGGCTCCTCTGACAGCTCTGGATTTGGGCCGATTTCATTGTCAATTTGATCGTTAACTCATTTTTGTTTAACCTTTTCTTTTAAAATGCCCCATACAAAGTTACCACGAAACCCTTATGCACGACAACAAATAGTAACAGCCGTGAGGATCTCTGCTTTTGGGTGTTAGCAACCCTGCTATCACCGTTTGGGAAAGGATCATTACCTTTAAGCAAGTACTAAGCCACGGTCCACTGGGTTTAGGAAGATTAAATTCAGCAGATTTTGCTCCTTCAACCACTTCAATACGGGCAATCTAAGAAGTCGAGCCACGAGCTGGCAGCTGGGAGGACCAACCACCTTCTGGCACCAACTTTGGGGGATCTGGGGCAAAACTCTGTGCCTCGGTTTCCCCATTCACCAAATGGGGTTAATGAATTGTTCCTGTTCCTGAAGACGAGTCAGCGTCAGGAAGACAGGTAGAATTATCTCCCTTCTGGCTTTCGCGATCGAGAGCACCCAAACAAATTGCACAATAACGAGCACAAACTAAAAACGCCCTCAGCAATAACCCCACTCAAAGCACTTGCTGTTTTAATTAATCAAGACGAGAGCGCCCGACACCGGCCTCGCCGTGCTGTAGCTTGTGATGTTCAGGAAGCGACTTGTAAAACATGCGAATGCAAAAAAAAAAAAGCGTCCAAAGACGAAATCTGAGAGTTGCAGAAGTCGCATTTTGCAGGCACTGAGCTCATCTTGGTCTTCCCTTTCCAGAAGGGAAAGATAAAGCTGAAGACGTTGCAGAGGGATGGGCGAACGGCATTAAACAAACAACCTCAAGCACAACGTCCATCGGGCAGGTTTTACACGCTGAAGCCCTTGCTAACGTGCGATGGGACAGGTGGGACTCCGTATGAAGGTGTTGCGAGGCAGTAAGGTGGAAGGTGGAGAATTGTCTGTGAGTGCTAAAAAATGCATTTCTTGGTACCCAGCAAACAAAGCGGGGAGACGTGTTAAAATACTTACGATGGGTGTTCCAAAGGGAATGTAACCTATTAAAAAAAAAAAAATGCATGCATTTTAATACACAGTTTTGGGATGGAAAAAGATCACATCTAAGACATGTACCAGTTTAGGGTAGAAGCCACACCTGGCAGGATGGGCTTCCACCAGCTCCGTACCACCACATGGACATCTGTGGACCTGCACCTCACGCACCAAGCATCAACTGGAGCAGCTTCCTGATTTTTTCCAAATCTCCTTCCCATCCTCTATTTGCGTTTCTTGCATTGCGGTCTAAGAGTTTCCCTGAAACTTCTAACATCTAGACCCTAAACCCTACTCCAGTAAACCCAGTCTGTGCCAGTGCGTGGTATTAGCATTTCAGAGGGCACCATGTTGTTGAGCTGGACTTGGCAGTCAACAAAATCTCAAATCAGCAGAAGTAGAAAGGATGACAGCTCAGACCAAGAGCTGCTCGGTCTGGACCAGGAGGAGCTGGATGCTGCTGCTGTGGTGGTGCTGAGCTGACCTAGTGGCTTGCTGCCACAGAAAGGGGGAGATCCTGCCCCCCTTCCCAGGCTCAGTCATGCAATCTGTTCCCTCCCTCGTGCCAGCTCTGTTGCTCATCAGACCCTCCCACAACCTACCCTCGCTAACCCACAAGAAAACTCACCAGCGTTCTGCCTCCCTTCCCCCCTCACTGAGCCTGGTCCCACCAGGATGGCACGCTGAAGACACTCAAGAAACCATCTAACAAGCTGCAGAGCCCGTGCCAGTTAAGGAGCAGGACTGTGCCACCATAACTGGGATCTCCCTCTTTCACCATCTGCTTTATCAACCTCTCTGCTGGGGATTTTATACCAGGAGAGCTCATTTATTTCTAGGTCAGTAGAAAAAGGAGCAGGGTACAAGCCTAAGAAAGTATATTTGCATCATGGAGGAGAGGGGGACTATTTTAATCATAGATGTAAGTTAAAGTTCTCTATATTAGAGATAAGCCTTTACCCCAAATCTTATTGAGCGCCACAAAAATCAAATGCTTCACATTTTTCCCCTGCTAAGTCTGCCAATTTTTGTGCTAATTATAATTCATCTCTATGACTTCCACTAGAAGGTCTCAGAGCATTTTACCAATATTACTGAATTAAGTCTCATGGATCCAATTTACAGTCGGAAAGGGCAAAGACCTGAGAGGAAGGAAAAATAAAAATAAAAAAAAATAAAAAAACAGAACAAGGCAGCAAAGCAGTGGGTCCTGGCTTTTCTCCCCTCCACTTCACCCTCAACATCATCCTTCTTCAAAGAACTGGAGAACAAAACCCACCAACTCTGTTATTTTTCACTTGTGCCCAGTATTCAGGCGAAGATGTTCCCCCAAAAACCATGGAAAAGGTCCTATTTATTTAAACAGGTCCTTTGGGAAAGGACCAAGGCTGCACTTCCATGCTCAAGAAAGCTGCTCTTCAACCCACAGCAGAGGTAGCTGTGGACCTGTGCGTGGCAGAGGGACGCCCCGAAATGGGAAGGAGGGGGCAGTGATTTAATCATTAAACAGCTCGGTTAAGCCACAGACAAACTGATCCTTCTGGGCTCCCAACTCCATAGCCATAAGGCACCACTGTACACGGAAAAATAGGGCTCATCCCATTCTCTCCTGGGGAGTAAAACCCTAAGCTGCTCGTTGGGCATCAAGCGTCGCTGTTTACTAGAAAATTAAAATGCCTATTATAGTGACAGATACCTCGAAAATGCCAGAAAAGACATTAGCTTGAGTCCACGTTAAAACATCTGAAGGAAAGGAAAATATGAAGCAGTAGATTTCACAGAGGTACTTAGGATCCTAATTCTCCTCACTCGCAAAGGGATTTTGGCATTTGAATTACTGTCTGGTCTTGGTCTAAACGTTTACAAGACGCAATTCAAAAACAGGAGAAAAAAAAAAAACACGACATTTTGTACAAATTGCCAGCAAAATTAATGTTTGCTGAGGACATACCATACCTGACATTCGGAAAGGCATGAAGATGGTCTCGTTTGTATCGGGGTGGATGATGGCCTGTAAAAGAGGCAGCAAACAGACACGGTGAAGGACAGCCACAGCTGGCGAGGCGCAGGGAAGCCAACTCAGCCTCAACAACCAGCACCTTCAACCAGAGAGCACTGGGAGGCTTCATGCATCTCGTCACCCTCCTTGCTTTCGCAGCTCCAACCAAAGGCAGTTATTGTTAACCTCCTCCTACCACTGTTTTCCCCTCTCCTTAAATAATTTAGCATAAGTTAATAATTTAGAAGTAAATAATTTAACCTGAAATATAGGAAGTGGCTCCTTCTTGGTACTATAATGTCCCCAAAGGGCACCCACCGCTGGACCTTAACCTCGGGGTGGGGAAACACAGATTGAGGAGGGGAAAAGGGAAATCTATTTTCTCTCCCTGCCTGTTTTCAGCGTCTCCACCGAGGTGCTGCTTAATGTCCTGGCTGAAACTCTGCCCTCGCTGCGGCAGAGGGGTGGGGAGGGCAGGACTGCCTGCCGGGGAGGGAACGAGGGGGTAAATCACTTTACGCTGCTCGTGAAGCAAATGGGTTGCAGGAGTTCCCCATAAGGACTTGTGTGGCTTAGCCACGATGGATGGATTCAATCCGAGGAACATCTTCCCCATCTGCAGGTATGCCTGCACAGCACATCGTAGGAAACCTGCAATCCTGCTTCAGGATCTGGCCCAGCTGGGGTGAAAACATGCAGGTACAGCCCGCTCCAGTTGGGAGCGTAAGGGTCACCTAAATAAAACCCCCTCGCACGCCACAGGATTTGGATTTGCCGGATAATTCAACCTTTATGTGTATCTGCAGCTTCTCAGCCAGCGCTGGCGGCTGCGGACAGCCCAACCTCTAAGGAAATCCTAAATCTGTTTTACCGATAAAGAGACAACCAAGCTCACTCGGCCCATTTTTACCAAATTTTACAAAGAGCCCAGGAGGTTGCAGCAGTATTAAATGGCTGGGGATGAAAAATCAATCCCCAAGTGATCCGGGACTGCAGAGGAGGAAGGTACGACACACTTACAAGCCTTACCAAAGAACTGTCAAACTATTTTCAAAAGACTGGAGACAAGAAATCTCTTGACTAGACAGGAAAGAGAAAATGAAGACATCAAAATATATAAATACAAAAAAAAAAAAAAATCAGACTCTTTGGTGGCAACAGTGTTCTCTGCATTTACATTTCTGTGGCAAGACAAAACAGCAACTGGCAAAGTCAATAGCGGAGAAGAGGACAGCATCGCTTAGCAAAAAGGAAAAAAAGCAGCAATAGCAGAAATGAATAATGAAATATTTTTTTTAAAAAAGCGTATTACCTGCTTTATTTTTTGAGCTCCCCACAGCTAGAAAAATAAAAAGAGAACATTGCATTTAAAAAAAATGAGCAGTGTAGTTTTATACCAAACCCCAAATATTCATCTTTTAGCTGCTAGAGTAAACAAATGCAAGAGACTGCTTTGAAACAGACTCATTCTCTGCATCCCTCCAGGATGTATTTAAAAATCCTTTACACACACCGAGCGCCTCCGAATCTGTGTGGCCAGTAAGACCAGCAAGGCAGAGAAGATATTCTTTCTCATGTTGAATGGTAGGAAAGAATAACAACAACCAGACTTCAACACTCTGCTATAAGCTTTACAAATCAAGAATTATCTTGGTAATTTTGCCGTACGTAGATCTCAAGGTAAATTTAGCACAGCATCTCCTTGGACGAGCTTCCTGCGGAAATCGAGGATTGCTGGGGAACAAAGGTGGAGCAAACCCTGCAGGGAAATACAAGAAGTATCTCTTCAAATAAAACCTGGATTCAGAATAAGCCAGCCGCTGGATTTTGTTTTTCACAAGAAGGGAAAACACTTGCACGGAAAAACGCTTGTGAAGAGGAAAAAAAATCTCATTTAAAACTCTCATGAGCTCCTACTGTTATTTACGGACTGTAATTCAGCAGCATCAAAACACCTCAAATCAGGCTCAGACAGCGGAGATCTGCGAGCACCGAGGAAGAGATATCCTACGTGAGGTGCAAGTAGAGCTAATGAGTAGGTACACAACATGAAGAGATGCTCTGGCATATACATAAACTCATAGTTTGCCAAGTGATTAATAAAGCCAGAGGGCTTTCCTCCATGAATTACGCCCAAACGCGAATTATAATTAAAAGAAAATAAAAAAATCCCCATTTTGATGTACGTATTTCTAGAGAAGGATGAAAACCCAGGACTTCCACAAAACATCACCACAGACCAATTGCTTTTACTGTTAAAAACTGCTCTGTTCAGCTGAAGTCTGGTTTCAACTTCCAGGCACCGGTTTGTGTTACACCTCCGTCTGACAGCCTCCGGCGCCGTCTATTTTTATTCTTCTCGCAGGTACTTGGAGCAGCTAAAGCCACCCTTTAACCTCCGCTTAAAGACAAAAAAAAAAAAAATCAAATTCATCCGAGCCAGGAGACTGGCTGTTTCGTTGGCAAGGCGCGTTTGCCAATCTTTTAACCACCCTCGTGGCTCTTTTACATCTTTCCAATTTGTCAACATCCTCTTGAATCGAGGACGCCAGAAACCAGACGAGTTATTCCAACAGTTGTCCCGGTGCCAAAGCAAGGGTAGGCTAACCTGATGAGTTCTGCTCTTGCTGTTGATAAATCCGAAGACGGCGATAGCTCTTTTTGCTTGGAGAGCTCCCGATTACCCACCAGAACACCCACCCAAGTGCCAGGACACATTTTCTGCGAAACAGGCATTCACGTTTTAGGTTTTATCATTATTATGGTATAAATTAAGACTTGATCTGCCATTCTTCTTCACCCAAGGCTTAGTGCCTTCTCCAAACATAAATCCATTAAAATACTGTTGGAATAAGGTAATTACTCTATTATACATAGCATAACTTGACCCACTGATACCCAGTATTTCGCTCCAAATTCACCTTTAACTCCAGAATCAAAGCTTCATGATGAACTCCGCTGTGTGCGACGAGCTGCTGGAATTCTAAATGTCACAGGCTGATGGACGTATCCACAGGGCTCTTTCCTGAGGAAAACTTCCCTTTTTAAGGGAAATCACTATTCTCCATTTTACCATTGAAGAACAGAGGTTGAGGGACACAAAGAGACAATCTTTATGGGTGTCAGAGACAAGATGTGTCTGTCCTCACCAAACCTAAAATCCAAAGGGTGGGAGGCTGTGTGCCCAGACAGCTACCAGGGCTTTTCTGCACCTGCCCCTCAACCAGCTCAAGGGCTTCCATGGGGTGAAAGTGGAAGTCCTTGAGCTGCAGGTGACTACCCAAAGTGTCCCAGTAGCCCTGTGGCTGCCCAGGTCTCACGTACCTTAGATGTGAAATGAAAACACAGGATTTTCCTCTCCAACTGCAAGCCCCAAGACTAGCAAAAAGGAAGAGGGATGGTTTCTGAGCCAGCGCTATGGCTTTTTTGGTCAAATTATCTAATTTCATTAATTGATCCCAATATTTATGCATTTTCCTGCTGCAGTGCAAATATTGTTAGAACATGTGATTTCATTACTTCTCAGAAAGAGACTTTACAAGATGCACCTGATGAGTCACCTAAAGATTCTGCCAGCTCATTTTCACTTCTTTATCCTTGAATTCATTTTCTGTCTGCAGCATTTTTCAATAGCTCCAGTACTCTGACGAGTCTTGCCAGCTGGGGGGCTCGTTTCTGAGAGCAAGTCTCTATTTCTGCTGGGGATTTCATTCACGCTCTCTCCGGCCACCTTCGAGAAGTAGCCAGATTTTGATCTCATTTACACTAGCGTGAATCCAAAGCATCTTCACTGGAGCACATGGAACGACTCCAGATTCGTGCTCAATTTATGTCAGGTTTATGTCCATGATCTCTAAGCATAGTCAGCCTTTATGGGGTGGGTCTCCTGTAATAGATGGTCTTCCTTTACATCAGCTTTGCTATACGTTACCGGCTCAAAGCTGCATCGGGCATTTTGCCACCATTCAAATTCGGGTGCAAGAACCAAACCTGCTCGTACATGGGTTTACACCAAAGAAGCCCGGAGGACAAGGGGGCAGGAACATTGGAGCACGGTTAACATATTCCACTATCCACTCAGCAACCTAAGCAGGTAGTGATGGACAAGTTTCTCCAGCTTGTGGCCATCACAACCTTCCACGAGGACTCCAGGACCATTTGCAAGTGCTCCCAGCACCAGCATTTCAGAACTCTGGGCTCATGGATGAAATTTCCGTCCATCCTTCCCCAGATTCTGTTTTTTATACAATTTTTTGAGGAAGAGATACTCACAACTTGCTCACCACCTAGAGCACATAGCTTTAAAACCCTGAACTCAGTTACACAGAAACATTACACGCTTATGACGTTTAAGGAAGGGTATCAAAGACTGCCATAACCTAAAGAGAACGAAAGATGCGGTAAGGAACTAGAGACTGGAATAACTCTTGGGGAATAGATATGATCTTTGGTTGACAGGGCGTTCATTAGCATTCCTTATTTAGCAGCGGAATTGCAGCTTAGAGATAGCTTTCAAAAATAAAAGTATTTATTGAAAGAATATATCCAGCCCAAATCTATTAGCCAACACCTGCCACTATAAAAACAGTACAAAGGGTAACAGTTATTCTTAAGAGATTAACTTCCCTCCTCTTAAATACAGTAAGATTTCATGGTCCTAGACTCAAAGATGGGATTTTATTTTTTTTTCTCCCCTCTGCACAAAGTTTCACCTAGATTAGAAAACCATGGTTACAAATTATTCACCCTTGTTGACAGCTGGCTCCAACGCTGCTAAAACAAGCAGCCAGCTCCACCCTACGCAAGTGCAGTTGGCTGTATCCAGCCCACCCACTACATCGCTGAAGTTGGCCTCAGGTGTCTAAGGTCAGGAGAGCACTGACAGATTCACACCACCTCCTCTCTCGCGTTGCCAGCAACTCCCTCCCTACAGTCAATGGAGACAAAAAGGCAGATTTGATGTCAGGAACGTGTAATAGCTGCTCTAACGCTTCCTCCCCTCAACCGTACGTGTCAACAGGATCCGAGTCCCTTGCACAGTACAGTAGTAGACACTGAAATGATCTTCAATCCACAGGTGCGTGCTTTGGATATGTCACATCAGGAATAACTCCACGGAGAAAAGCCCTTGCTGATTAACTGCATGTTAAATATGCACAATGACAAGGCACAGCTATTTTCAAAAAACTGATAAGGAGTCACATGGGAGACGACTCCTATGTGTAAGAGAAAACACAGCAGCTTAAGTTCTACAAAGACTAAGAGGTCTAACTGTGTTAGACCTTGCACCATCATCACAACAGTTTGCAAACTTCCCCTAGCACAGACCAGGTCGAAGAAGAAATCCTCAAAAGAATGAGTATTTTTAGTTAATTTATTTCTCTATCTAGTCAAGTGGAGACAGAGTTCCATCTCAAAATCTGCTCATCCTCTTCCTACTCCATCAGGGAGGTTATCACCCTTTCCTGAGAATACACCTGCACCCATGAAATCACAGAATGGTTTGGGTTGGAAGGGACCTTCAAGATCATCTAGTTCCAACCCCCCTTACATGGGCAGGGACACCCTCCACTACACCAGGTTGCTCAAAGCCTCATCAAATCTGGTCTTGAACCCTTCCAGGGATGGGCCAGCCACAACACCTCTGGGCAACCTGTGCCAGTGCCTCACCACCCTCAGAGGGAAGAATTTCTTCCTTAGATCTAATCTAAATCTCCCCTCTTTCAGTTTAAAGCCATTGCCCCTTATCCTGTCACTGCACACCCTTGTTAAAAGTCCCTCTCCAGCTTCCTTGTAGCCCCTTTAGGTACTGGAAGGCTGCTGGAAGGTCTCCCTGGAGCCTTCTCTTCTCCAGGCTGAACAACCCCAACTCTCTCAGTCTGTCTTCACAGCAGAGGTGCTCCAGCCCTCAGATCATCTTCATGGCTCTCCTTACTAAAATCTTGATTTTAACAAGGTAACAGACTAGAGTTTGCATCCCATCAGGAACTGCCAGTGGTTTCACACTCTGGGAATTGCAAGATTTATTAAAGCAAAGCTCGGCTTATCTATCCCACACTGAATTCCAAACATTGGGGTTCAGGAGCGGAACGTGTTATGCAGCAAAGCTCGTTCTGAGGAAGAACAAACTGCTTTCATGTGTATGGCCATTTGGAGGGGCAGCCTTCAAAACCAGATGCACTTTCCAATAATCCCAATTGTTTAAATGATACAAAACCAGAGGAAAAGAAGAAAAAAGGAAAAAAAAATTGCTCAGAAGGTGTAACTTACTGTGCTTGGAAAATTCACTGAGGAACACTTCAGACCAGCAACAGGGATCTGGCACCACATTAGTGGCAA